GTGTATGTCATGCCCTGAGTCAGGACTGTGAGTATAGCCCCACCCCATGGTCAGGGTCCCCCAACTCACCTGCCACAACTTGATGGAATATGTAAAGAAGGAGGTGGTTCAGTGGTGTCTTCCCCTCTTAACCCGAAGATGGGGTACTCACAGGTATGCTGCAGTGTTCCTCGGGGCTCCACTTCCCCTATACCCCATCCACTCGCCAACCACTTGGGCATTCAGACAGGGTGTTGAACCCTCCACTGTGGGTCCGGTGTTGGCTCCATCTGGCCCACCACCAGGATGCCGACCACACCTGGAGCTTCAGTCCCTGGCCTCAGGGATCTGAGCCACAGGCATCGGGCATCCTCCCTGAGGGGAACACCACCTGGATACTTTAATGCTGAGGGAATGGGAACTGCCCATTCCCAGCCTGGTGCCAACCACTGCCCCCGCTCCTCTGCTGTGGGGTAGTACCTCCGGAGCTGCTACAGCTGGCACATGGAACCTCCGCCCAGTTGGTGTGCTCCCAGCTGGCATCCCCTCTCCTGCAGGGTTTTTAAATTATCTGTGGTGGCAGCTCCAGCTGACATAATCATCTGGCCACCGCCCTGCCTGGGAATCAGCCGCTTGAAGAGCCGGCGAAACGCCATCTTGTGTGGCTCTTGCTCTGCCCCAGCCTGCCTGGGATGTAAGTTTCCCAGGGTGTGGGTTGCTCTGCTCTCCCGTTCGGGACCACTGGGGTTTTCCCCCTGCATTTCCAAGCACTGTGGGGGTTTCTCGCTGCCACAGACCTCCTCCCTCCTTAAGCTGCCTTGTGGTGTCTTGGCATCTTGCCAAACATCCCAAGTAGTCTGATGTTGCTTCTTGTGTGCTTGCCATGCCTTCTCAGCTGGCTTATCTTGACTGATGTACCTGGAGAGGAGATCCACCACGAGGTTGTCTTTGCTAGGGTGATGTACCACTGAGAATTTAAAAGGTTGTAATGCCAGCACCCAGTGGGTTATATGGACATTCTCTATATGGGCTTTTGTTGGCCAGTGAAGTGGGGCATGATCCGTGACCACTACGAACTCCCAGCCCATCAAGTAGTATTTAAAATATTAGGTAGTATTTAAAATTGGGTCCAGAGGGGTCAGGAGGGTATTGCGGAGAGATGTCAGCTGGTGGTCCTGGCCCCATTCCGCTGGCAAATTTGGAGGCTGGCACACAACTCCCTGCTAGTGGGCCATCTAGAGCGCAACAAGACCAGGGTGAGATTGGTTCACAATTTCTTTTGGCCCGGCTACAAGATGATGTGGACAGGTGGGGTGCGGCATGTCCCGAGTGCCAGAGAGCCCAGGAGTGGAGACCTCTGAAGGCCCCCTTGCAACCCATGCCAGTGATTGAGATACCCTTCTCCCACATAGCACTGGACATTGTGGGACCCCTGCCCAAGTCTCATGGTGGGGTACCAATATGTATTACTCTTGGTTGACTATGCAACATGTTTTCCGGAAGCAGTTCCACTTAGGTCAATCACAGCTACTTGAGTGGGTGAAGAGCTGTTAAAGTGGATCACCCGCGTGGGAATCCCCCACGAAATACTCGCTAACCAGGGGACTAATTTTATGTCGGGAGTAATGAAGGCGCTGTGCAGCACCCTGGGCATCAACCATCTGAAGACATCCCTTTATCGCCCCCAGACCAACAGGTTAGTGGAGAGACTCAACGGGACCATCAAGAGGATGCTCAGGAGATGTGCACAAGAGGATCCACGTAGGTGGGATACGGTATTAACCCCACTATTATTTGTCCTGCGGGATGCTCCTCAAGGGTCTATGCAGTTCTCGCTGTTCCAGCTGGTATACGGCCACAACCCAAGGGGTCTCTTACAGATTGTTAGAGAAGAGTGGGAGAGGCCAGTGGGGCCAGGGATTGCAAGAGCATATAAACAAGGCCCACGGAATTTCCTGCCAGAATCTCCAGGCAGCACAAGAAAGGCAAAAGTCCAGGACATTCTAACTGGGAGACATGGAACTAGTATTGCTTCCAGCTTTGACAAGTAAGCATGTCTCCGTGTGGCAAGACCTAAACACTGAGCAATGGTGAGAGCTGACGGAGATGGTAGAAGCCTTCCGGGACATGTTCCAAGAGACCCTGGGACGGGCCTGAGGAATAGAACGCAAAATCGGGACGCTGCCAGGCACTCTAGTCAGGTAGCAATGGAGGCCTATACCTCATCTTCTACAACAAGAAGTAGGTCAGGAAATAGAGAAGATGCAGAGGCAAGGGATTATCTGGCCTTCTCAAAGCCCCTGATGCAGTCCAATAGTACTAGTAGCCAAACCCGATGGGTCACTCTGCCCGTGCATAGACTACTGGAAGTTGAATGCACTGGTGACCTGTGACGTGTTCCCCATGCCCCATCACCCACCTTGTAGAGAAGATTGGGGAAGCAAGGTATATATCTAACATTGACAAAGCCAAAGGGTATTAGCAAATCCGGATGAGACCTGCTGATTGCACCAAAACAGCCTTCTGATGGGCCGGGAGTTCCTCGTGGTAACAGATTATGCCCCACTTCAGTGGCTAACCAAAACCCATATAGAGAACACCTGCATAACCCACTGGGCACTTGCTCTGCAACCTTTTAAGTTCACGGTGGTGCATCGCCCTGGTAAAGATAATCTTGTGGCGGATTTCCTCTCCAGATACATCAGTCTGGATGAGCCAGCCAAGGAAGCGCTGCAAATCAAATGCTCCCCAAGATCCAAATACTGTCACCCTAACAAATAGTGCATGTGGTAAGTCTTTTTTCTTCTGCTCTTTTTGTGGCTCAATTTGGAGAAGCCTGTTTTTCCTCTGATTTTGAAAGAGAAATTTTAAACGTATGTATATATTAATCTGGTCCTGGTCCTGTTTAAGGAAATACATCTTGCAGTATCAGTTCTCTTACTGCCTTGTTTAATAGCTTATTTTTATAGCCTCAAATATTGCTGTGTACTAAATATTGCAGTAACATGCTGATTTGCATTTGAATCTGATTTACTGTAATTATAACCTCCCTCTAAGCATAGGCTTCTTACAGATTTCATTTACATTTCTAGTCTAATATCTTGCTTTGATGTATGGTAGAGGGTAAGGCTTTCCTGTCCAAGTGCTTTGCACCTGCAGTGAGTAACCAAATGTGGAATGAATAAAATATTGTGAATGATTGGTGTTCAGAGAGATCAAAAAATATTGAGGGGGAAGTTTCTTTTTTCTTTGCTCAAAGTATTAAAAATAACATGTCTAAAAATAAAAGACAGTGGTGCCATTCAGGCCAGCGGGTTTTGGAGGCACCAAGGCTAATGTTTCCCATACAAGTGGAACATTTAAAAGCTTAAAGCATGAAACCTCTGGGAAGGTGTATGGAATCTTGTTTCTGGAATTTCAGTCCCCCTCAATACTGGGACAAGCACAGACAAGTGAATGCATGTGTTACTTGGAACCCTTGAAATCACGTTCTCTTAAACTCTTATTCCCCATACTTGAACAGTTACACACCATGACAGTCTTGAGTAGACAGAGCAAGAAATGGACTTATTTTGACAGACAATACCATATATCCCTGTTCTGGTAATTCAGTAATAACCATTCCCCTGAACTTTCCTCCTTTAAATATTTTCCTTACTAATTTTAAATCACTCTGGTTGGGGAGGAAAGTCCCTCCAACACCTTCCTTGGATTTGTTCCAGCACAAAGGTTCTTACATTCTTCCATAGCATAAATTATATGTAAATAGCCCTTCGTGGAGCTTTTTTCCTTTTAAAATTGTTATTGTTTGGGTCATTCTTCCTCCAACTGCTGATGGACAACTTATTTTGGCAGCTTCAGCAATTGCTTATATGGAAATTATTGACAGTGCCCTCATCCCTCTGGTTTACTTGTGGCAGATTAGGGTGTTCTTGGGTGATGTACCTGGTAGGTGCGGGACAGGGCTGTTTGCATAGTTTTAATATTAGATTAGACAAACACTTGTATAGGATAGTTTAAATGGGGTGATCCTGCCTTGAGCAAGTGTTGGACTCCCAAGGTCCCCTCTAGCCCTAATTTTCTATGATTATATTTGTAAATGTTAGAAAATAATTTGGATTTTTTTTTTGGCTTTTGCTTTTAATTGAATTTAGCAGGTGAAAACAGGGAGAAGAGCAGGCACAAAATGATTAGCTAATACAACATGGACCATCACACCACAGTTTGAAAACTGCTGGTCACATTTGACCAGAGGAAATACTTACTGGGAAGGAAGATATACTAGAGCCTCCATATTCTATTTATATCAGATTTGACTCCAGGGTACTGTGGTGTAGATTTATTATTCCTAATATGAAAGATGTAAAGCACAGATTGATAATGGTTCTGAAGTGGTTACGGTTGGTTGTGTATTATTGAATGGCTGTTTCCTGCGCAGGTGTTAGTGTCTTTTGGGAAAGATGAATGAATAGTATGCCTGAAGTGGTTGATGATGGCTGGGTGTCAGAACTCTTGGATTCTATTTCTGCCTTTGCTGTTCAGTTATTGGACTAAGGAAACACCTTTTGCATGACTGTATTTACCTATAAAATGGGGCAATATCTCTATCCATGGTTGCATAATTTACCAACCATTTAAAGGTGTTGAGAATTAGTTAATGATTGTAGATTATTCTGAGATATATGGATGAAAGTTGATATAAGTGCATGGTGTAATTAGTAAATGTTTACCTACCCCCTCATTCTGCTAGTCTTATCCTTAATGAGAATTTACTTTCTCTGCATCTAGTCCCCTAGACTTGGGGTGAGGAGGAGGGGGACATACACTGTTTGCAGAGTAAGACAGTATACAGCAACTCATTAAGGGTGTCAGAATGGGTTTTAAATATTTATATGGCCTCTTTAATGAAACTTTACCAAACACAATACAACATTTCAGGCAAAGTTTATACTGATAATCTGTTAGATTGTAATATCTCCAAGTTGTGTCACTCTTTTCTTGTTCTGCAAAGTGATGTGAAGTTGTGAGACTCTCCCCAAGATTTCAAAGTATCCTAAGGGACCCCACATTTCATTGAATTAAATTATTTTTTTAATAGTAGGATTTTGGTGCTGGAATTCTTTAGCCAACTTTGAAAATCTCTAGAATTTTTCTTAGAGCTACTGTAATGAATCAGAATTCTGTGCTTTCTTTTTACATTGTAGAGAAACATGGGCAATTTCAAAGGCCATGCCCTCCCTGGGAGCTTTTTCCTCCTCTTTGGCTTGTGGTGGTCAGTGAAGTACCCACTAAAGTACGTATGCCGAAAGAACAAGAATGCTTGCTACCTTGGTTCCAGGGCAGGATTTCAGCGCCTGGAATTCATTGAGGGGATCATCAAAGCAGTGTTTGCCCTGATTGGTAAGTTAGACTGTGGTTCTAAAGAGACAAAACAAACAAAGCAAAGGCCACATTTATTAGTATTTTGATTTAAAAAATTCGTATTCAGTCAGACTCAATACAGGTCTAGTGATTGTTTAAAAAGTTCATTAATGATTAATGCTGCAATATTGTAACAAGTTTCTCTTTCTTTTTTTCAAATCAAGACTGGATTCCATTCTGAAAGTCATGCTTTAGCCCTGGGGTGGGCAATTATTTCAGCTGGAGGGCCACTTGACAAGTTTTGGCGAGCTGTCAAGGGCTGCAAGGGGAGTCCTGTCCCTTGACAGGTGCCCCACCGCTTGGCCACCATCTTGGGACTAGAAGTACCACTCCCTAACCCCTGACCTTTGCCACCAGACCTTGCCCTGGAAGTACTCCATTTGGGAAGTGGGGGTTGTCATGCTGGAACTGGAAAAAAAACAAACAAATTATATATTAAAATTAAAGAATCCACAATAACATTTTTTTTAAAATGTTCTGATTTTTATGTGTTTGCATTGTGTATTTAGAGCATAATAGCTCAAAATGAAGTCTTACCCCCCACAATGCCCCCAGTATACAAGAGTATGGGTGGGTGAGCATAGGGTTTGTGGGGGACTCTGTGGCAGTGAGCAGGACTCCCCGCAGAGGCATGTTGGTGTGGCTGTGGGGGATGTGGGGGGCATGGGGGGTTGTGGGGGAGGGTGTGGGTAGGTGCAGTGTTTGTGAGGTGTGTGATTGTGTGTGGGGGAGGGTGTGGTTGTGGGGTTTGCAGGGGAGGGTTTGTGGATATGGTGGGGTGTGCTTGGGAGCCCCCTGTGCGCATGCTACCCTGAGCTGGTTAGCACTTGCCCCTGCAGTGCCTCCCCTGCAGTACCGGTGGGGACCCGTGCCACAGCCCTGACCTGGCCCACCCCGTGCCTACTCTGGACTTGTCTGCTCATGCTAAATAGTGGCGGCAGCAGTGCCGGCCAGGCAGAAACTGTTGCTCAGCATGGTTGGAAAAGTGGCTTCTCCCCCGTGCTCCTGCCTGGTTCTTCTTGCTGCAGCTGTCTCCGGAGCCCATGCTGGGCTACCCTGTGGCTCTGCTGCTCTCACCGCAGCTTCCATGCTGCCCCACAGGGCAGTGGTGGCAGTGCAGAGAAGCCACAGTCGCCCCAGCCCTGCTGCATACCCAGGGGGTGGCAGGATACGCCATGGCCAGACAGTGCCTGGGCCAGGCAGGGCCAAGGGACCCGCCACAAGCCAGACAGAGCCCCTTCGTGGGCTGAATGCAGCCTGTGGGCTGTATTTTGTCCACTTCCAGGGCTAGCCTGTTCTATTCTATGGAACCTGTGGCCACAGGGGGCCCTGCAGCCAAGGGGCCATGCCCTGCTCGCCCCTCGCTGCCTGTGCCATGTTTAAAGGGCTTGATGCAGGCAGGGAGCCCCTTCCTGGCTGAGCAGGGGGAGGAGTTCCCAGCTCCACTCCCACACCGGCCCTGGGGTGGGAACCCAGGCATCCCCAGCACGTGCTGCCTCTATGCTGTGCCCCCGGCAGCGCAGCCCACATGCATAGCCCAGCCCCGACTATTTTATTTCAGTGAGTTTATACTGCGATTAACCACACTTTTGATTTTTTGATGGATTGGGGGCCCCAAAACTACCTTGCAGGGAGCCCCAAAAAATTGTGGGCTGGCCCTATCTCCTCCTGTTTTGGCCAAACAAATTATTGGACTTGGTACAGATATAATTGGAGAATATCATGTGCTTGTTGATATACAAGAACTCAGATCAAGTGATTTAATGATCCTTCTGACCTTAAACTCCATGAATCTTAAGAATAACTGGAGCTACCATTAGCCTTTCCATAGCTACAATTGTAGCATGGTTTCTGTCTAATGCACATTTGCATAATTCCAAAGCCACTTTAAGGAGCTTTGACACATATAGGATCAGCTGGAACAGTTGTATGCCAGCTTGGAGGCTAGGATATGGATTTATTGCAAATGTGAGGTCATTTGACCTCTGATATGCAAAGTAGCAACTGCAGACAGGTTGGGCAGTGCTTACTTTCAGTCCAGTGCTGTAAAATGGTACTGGTATTCATGTCCCCAGTTAATTATAATTATGTGAAGCTAGAATGCCCTCTGACTGATGTGTGAAAATGTTCACCCTTTACAAAAGAGCCAGACCTCTGAGCTGTGGAAGTGCTGCCAGAGATTGCCATTTTGCATTTTTTGATGGAATGGCTTAGATTCAAACCAAAATGAAAGCCAGACAGATGACTCGGTGAACTAAGTATCATTACCCTGCTCAAAACCTACCACTCTCATCTAGCCCAGGAACTTTTTTCTTCCTGAAAGAGGGAGAACGACTGTTAAACTGTTTGCGGGTCTCAAAACTGAGGTCTTAAGATAGGGCTGTAATGGTAATTAACCATCTCCAAAAAAACCAAACCATTGTATACCTCTGTTCTCAAGCTCTCCTGGGAACTTTAATAATCATGTACAGCAGAGGCAGCAGCCCCTTTTAAAATGTTATTGGAGACATTCCCTCCCATGTAGTTAATTATATATTGACATGGGCCAATATATGTCCTGCAGAGGGATGAAACACTAAATTGTCTTGTTGGCATTTAACTTTGTGGTTCTAATGAGCTTATTATTAAACTAATTTTAAGCCCCTGAAGAAGATTGTCAGAGATTTAGTTGGATTATCAGCAAGGCTAATTGTTTGAAAGGCAACCTAACCTGGTGATTTGTATTTTTACTGGCTGCAAATTACCAGTGATATAGCATAATTAGGATGCTGTTGCATTTGTCTCTATTGAGTGGCTGAAGACTTAAAATTTAATCTGTACTTTTGAACAGATAGTAGCTCTTCCCCTGTTATTTCATATGCAGGTATGATTGCTGAGCAGTTTGTTCCTGATGGACCTCATTTGAAGTTGTATAATTATGAAGAAAACCACTGGGATCACTTGATGAACTGGCAGCATGCCACCATGTATCTATTTTATTGCATCTCAGGGCTGGTTGATATTGTAGCTCATGGAACGAATGCATTGCCAGTGGCCATGGATAGGATGATGCTTTCATTAGCTGTTTTTGTGGAAGGTGAGTTTGCCTATCTATTCAGAGATTTTTCCGGAGAACTTCAGAGAAAACAAGGAACAACCACATGTTTTAGAATAAATAGCAATCCTTTGGGCTGTGATTATTAAAGTGACCGAAAGGAATTAAGTGTCTAATTTCAATGGGACCTAGGTCCTTAACTGTCATAGGCTCTTTTCAAAATTTCAACCTTAACCCTCCTAGATTGATATTTTCTAAGGGTATGTGAGGAGTTCAGAGGCATGATTGTAGCTCATGGGATAGAAATATATGTTGCCTTTGTGCTGCCATAAAAATGTTTTATGGGGCACAGCATGAAAGCCAACAGATGTCTGTGCCTTCTGTCATGCCACAAATATTCAAATTGGTGGCTGCAACAGAAGGTAGTATTAAATTGGGCCACTTTATTGCGGTCTATGTCTGTTTGCTTATGGCAGAACTGCTCAGGTAGCATGAAACTACCCAGGTTTTCCAGCATCCCCTAGGGCAGGGTCTCTGTGGGCTTGAGGGCCCCATCCTGCACACCCAGACTAGTCCTGGATTTTCCCCCTCAAGCTTTGGGAGTGCCTGCGTCTGTTTTCCAGCTTACCCAGACATGTCTCTCCAGGATGCATCTGGGTAAGAGTGGGAAGTTAGGACTTCAGGGTGTGTTTCTGGAAGCGGGGGTCCACTGCCTGCAGACACACACTTTGTGCAGTGTATGGGGAAATGCCTGCAAGTGTTGGGGGGAGAGCGGGGGATGGGAGGAACTCTCATAGGGCGGTTCCCCGTCCACGTTTGCAGTCCATGCTCCACGCTGCTGCCAGAAATATGTGCTGGACATGTTTGCAGATACGTTCACAGTGGATTCCTTACTCCTCCACATGAGGGGAACCCATTTGTAAGCAGGGGTTTGTCCCAAGTTGGTGTGTGGCAACTGGGGGGCACCTATAGACATCCCTGAAGCATGATCACCTGCATTGCAACATATCATAGTGCAGTTGACTGTGCTCCACCAAAGATGTCTGTTTCCATCCATAGAGGTAGGTTTAAACCAGCTGTCCTAATTAGCTGGACAGCACAAGTCACTGAAGTCACTGCCTTTGTGGCTTCGCTGATATTGGTACCAGTGCTAGCTAGTGCAGAGCTTGCTAGTTTGAAGCTAGCTTGGGTGTATCTACACATGCGTCAGTCACCAGAAAACACAAGATGAGCATACTACATCATCATTCTTGTTGCATTCTAAATATGGTGATTGTCTTTGTTACCAGTAATTCCTTTTTTTTTTTAAATTGAGAAGTATGGTAAGGAATCTAGCAGCAACCCACACCAGGGTAAATAATTTATCATCTCCCTCTCCCATTTTTTGTTTTTATAGTACAAAGGGACCTGTTTTCATACCTTAATTCCCTCTGAAAAAGAATTTTTAGAAGAACTTGATACAAAGAGAAAAAGCCCAATGTTTACTGTTTTGGGTTTTTTTGCAGAGGTTTTAGATGTCATTACAACAAAATGCCTATTTTAATCCTGTTGTCTTAAGACCAATCTTCTGTGTTGTCACAGGTTTCCTCTTTTATTACCACATACATGGAAGAGCCATGTTGGATCTTCATGTTCATCAGTTACTGTTAGTAGCTATCTTTGGTGCAGCTATTTGCATATTTCTGGAAGTCTTTTTCCGCGGTAGCATTGTACTAGAGATGCTCCGTACAAGTCTGTGCATACTGCAGGGCAGCTGGTTCTGGCAGGTGAGTCTTTGTTTCCTGCCTTTTAAGATTTCTTCCTTGGTTTCTGTTAGTCATTACTCCTTTGCATATGCCTCAGGGATGACCTCCTAGGCCAGTGGTTCTCAACCTGTTTAGACCCAAGGCACCCCTTTGGAAAATGCTTCCTTTTCCTTTTTCACTTTTTTCTTTTTTGACTACAGAAAAATAATAGAGCAACTCTTCTGTTGCATAGAACTCAGAAAGATCACAACAGGTCATAAGGTGTTGAACATTATAGATACCTATTTGAAATGTTTGGGTTTATCTGGTGAATCATCTGTAAGTGTTTGCACCCCTAACTATGATGATATTGCATGGCACCCCATAGCACCTTTAAAAAGATCTGGAGTGCTGCCACAGCCTGATTGTGAATCCTGTACTAGGCACTTGCACAATTCATTTTATACACTGATCCCAGAGTATTCACAAAGGGCCATTAATCGTCAGTGCACTTACAGAGAGATGTAAGATTTTATTATAATACCAAGTTAAAGATGAGGAAACTATTTTACTACTACTTCTGTTTTCCCAAGTCCAGATGTACTTGAATCCAAGGGGACAAAGGGACTAAGTGGGGGGGTGGGGGGCAGGCAGGCAGCTGCTGTGGCTCTGATTCCCCAGGGTTGGAGTTGGAGCTGCAGCTGCCCAACCTGTACCCTGCCCCCTATCCCACCAAAAATTACTGCTCCTTTGCTGCTGCCTACCCACTAGCTCTGAATCCACTCCAGCCCAGGTCACAGAACACATGGTTGATCTGGCCTCAGCCCAGCCATGCAGCAATGGCGTTGGCAGCTCTGGCCCTGACTGCTGCATGGTCAGGCTGGGGCTGGAACAAATGCATTTTATGCCCTGGGCTACAGCAGGGCTGGAGCCAGAGGGAAAGCAGCGGAGGGGGCAGAGGCTGTAGAAGGCAGGTTGGGGGGCAAATGGTGGAGGGCAGGCACCAGGGAGGGTGGGCACTGGGGTGTGCAGGCCCCAGGGGAACAGGTTTTGGGGGGGTGTCACAGGCAGCAGGGGGAAAAGAGAAAGGATCAGGTTACTTGATTGCCTTACTTCCTGCTCCCCTACCACCTGCCCGCCTGCCACTGCTTTATCTTCTGTAGCCGTGGGTAGGATGAATCAAGATGATCCTCCAATAATTAGATTCTGTAGATGGAAAATTATAACAAATTTTATAAATTCTCCATGTATAGGACCTAATTATTGGGGGTGTCATCTTAAATTCAGGGTTGTCTTGGATTGGGGTAGATATGGTAAATGAATGACAGAGCTAGGCATAGAACCCAGGGGCTCAAACTTGCAGTCCCTTGATATAATCATTAAACACTCTCCTAGCACTAACATGTGGTACATGTGCAGATCAACAGTTAATATTTCCTACTCCTACATAAATACAATAATTGTGCAGAGAAAGGATGTTAGTCCATAGCTAATAAAATAAGGCATAAAGTAGAGAAAAGGTCCTGTGAACACTGAAGTTACTGTGAAGAGGAAGGTGAAGAGGAAGGATAAAGGGAAATATCTTGAAGGCATTGAGTTGAATCCATCTCTCCACTTAAAAGCATCCCAATGGGTCACTAAGGCTTAAGATATTTAGGCTCAAGGTAACTAAAGATTGGGCCAAAGCCCTTGCATAAAACACAGCTTGCCAATTTACAAACATTAGGATTTGAACAAGTAAAACTACAGCCCAGAACTTTATCACTTTAGTTATGCAGCATCAGTTACCTTTTTAAGATCTAGCAGGTGTTCCTATCACTACTCTGTCATTCCATATTTTTAGTAGGAGTTTAATAGCCATATGTTAATGAGTTATTGTCAGAACCATGTATACTCAAGATAAAGATAGTGGCGCATACTTATTTTATGAATTGCTGCACTAACGGGCACTTGGACTTGGCCTGATGCTGGAAAACTGGTCACTAGAGTGATTCTTTGTTTCAGTATGTCTAGACTGGCTTCCCTTTTTATATTCTGGCCAGACATGGAAAATTAAACTGTTGGCTGTTCTCCTCAAACCTTGGACTTTTAGCACTAAATCAAATATGTAAAAGTTTTCACTGACAAGGAAAATACCACCTAAACATGAATCTTTTCCATAACTGAGCTCAAGAAAAATGTTGGGCATCTCAGAGCATACTGCTGTACTTTGCAATATGGGCAGTTTTCTTGGTTGATTAAAAAATGTTACAACAGAAGAGTTAAAAGTAGTAATTTATTTTTTCTTGTATGTCTAGTATTCATTTAGACAAGTAATTGGGAAAGTGTTTTTGGTTTCAAAGTACACCACAGATGTAACTTGAAAAAATAAAATAGATGTAAGTGTGGCTTTTTCACACTTGGATTACAGACTTTACCTGTGTGTGTGACAGAATACCACACATTCAGCACTCTTACATGTGCTCTGGGTGTGGTGATATGGGGCAACACTTCTAATTAGAGTGGCTCTGAGAGCTGCTCTAATTAAAGTGCCGCTGCATCTCATGTATCAGCGTCCCTACGCTGAAAAATGGTGGTGGGGGCGCTTGAACAAAAGCTCATTTGACCCATGCTGTGATTTTTAAGTGTGGGGATGCTGATTCATGAGACACAGAGGCTGATTAATCAAGTCTGGTTCAATGCACTAGAATTCCAGAGTGTTGCAGCAGCCTCTGCACTCATGTATGGGTACAGAACAGTACACATGTAAAAGATGAGTGAATTTTCTTTTTGCATTACCTGTGCTTTGCATGTGAAACTTGCCTTGCCTCAAAAGTTCCCAACTAAATTGCTGAGCTCTGACTCTAGAAGAGACTTAGTGGCACAGAGAATTAGTATTACTCAGTCTATCCTGGGTCAGCTTGGATAGTCACCAAGACTAGGGTCAGATATTCAAAAAGCCTGAGCTTGAATTGATTCAATCTTTGCAGGTTAGTCTAACCTGTGGAGATTGAACCGATTTGCAAGTGGATAGACAATTCACTTTTGATTCAGGAAATACAGGCATATCCCTGCAGTGGCTCAGACTAGAAGCCAGGGGGCACTAGAGTGAGCCCTCCCTTCCCTTCAAAAGTGCTGAGCTGAAGGGCGGGGGCATGGCAGGATGCTATGATTAGGGAGGGGTTTAAATTCCCACCCTGGCCTGCATAGTCCCCAGCCGGGGTGTGCCTAGAGGGGGAGAGGGAAGCAGCCCTTGTCAGGCTTTCCCACACCGCTTGCTGCTCAATGGGTGAGGAGTGTTGCCAGACCCAGACCCCGGCCTGTGGCTCTCACACTGAGGCAAAGCAGGGGATGGGGGAGGGAGGACTGTTTACGTGACTGCATGCATCTGTTGATGGTACTGAGCTTTTCAATCTCCCTCTCCCTGCTTTTTCATATTGTCTGTAGCAAACTGACGGCACTCACAGGTCCCATGCTTTGAAAACCAGGTCATTTCTCACACCTCTCTCTGTCCCCTCTTGAACACTGACAGATTGTGCCCTTTGAAGCAAGCCAATAGCCAGCAGGGAGTTTATTATAACACAAGCTTATCAACCCATCAAGAAAACAAAAGCTTCTCATTGGACCAAGCTTTTCTTAAACAGCTTTTTCTTAAAGGCATTTGTAGGGAAGAATGGAGGGACATTACTAACTGACCTTATGATTAATTTCAAAAAGCCCTAAGCAGATACTGTTCTGTCTGTCTTTGTTCCAGTAAAATTGGAGACACACTCATGGACACCTCTCAGCATTAGCTACTACGAGGGTGGCATGACCGTGACCAGATGCCGGCTGGGGTCGTGCTGCTGGGGTCCTTGCTGTTGGAGAGGTGGGGATCACTGCTTGAGCAGTGGTGAGGGGTGGGGGGAGAGGCAGGTGGAAGCCAGGAAGATGCTGCTGTGCCTGCAGCCTTCACCCCCTTCTTAGCCAGCTGGAGCTCTTGCTAGGGAGGAGAGAGGTGAGGCCAGCCCAGCTCTCAGGAGCAGACAGCACAGCCCAGGGCTGAAAAGCATGCTGGGATGCTGGGGAACTCTGGTTTAACTTAAACCAGGACAGATGATAGTTTTACACAGTAAAATGAGTTTGTGCTTTTCTACCTCCTAAGACACTGTCCCGCATTTGTAACTGCCAGTAGTTTGCAGCTTCAGATGAGGATGTCACTTCTTCTGTTATTTTGAAAAGAAAATCTTTTTCACAGGGTGCAGAAGAGAGCAGTTCTTATTTGTCTTTATTGTTTTTTATGCAAAGTGATACTATGAAACTCAGATTTGCAAAATCAAGTCCCTTCTCTTGAAATTAAGAAGACATGTTCAGATACAACCAATTTTTATTTCTCATAAGGAAAACCTAGTAAGCAGGCTTCTGGAGTGCAGGGAGTAAGGCCAGTGTTTATGGGAGTTCAGGCAATCTTGGAGCTAGGCAGTTTTTCTAGCTGGTATTCTGTTTCCCCTTCAGACCACAAAATGGCTATGCATTTGGTCTCTACTCATACCATACAAGCTTGACTATTGCAGGATCATTCAGGCTGGTATGGAGTTTTTCTGCATGAGGAGAGAAGGAGCAACCAAGGTCCCCTGGAAATGTCACTGTGTCTTTGAAAGGATTTCTTTGTCTTTCTGCGCTATAGGGTTTTTTTAATGATCAAATTTGAATGTGATGCTGCATAATTGTTTTAATAACATCTTAGACAATCACCAGTATAAAAAAAAATCTGTAAGCAGTTGCTGTGTGACATGTGGTACACATGCAATATGTGATGTGGCACAGTATAGATATCAGATGAGTGTTATAAACTGTATTTCATTTAATTACAGATTGGCTTTGTACTGTATCCTCCAAATGGAAGCCCAGAATGGAACCAAATGGATCACAATAATATGATGTTCTTGACGATGTGCTATTGCTGGCATTATGCCTTTGCTTTTCTTATACTTGCAGTGAACTACACCATTGTCAGCTGGTAAGTTAATTGCAGAACTAAAACATGGGAGAACTGTGTTGTTACACCATGAGAGAGGCTTTATTTCAGAGGGGTCTTAGCTGAAAAAATTAAAATCGGGTTCTTTTTTTGTTCCTTTTTTCTTAAAAGAAAAATGTAAAATAGCATGTTGCTAAAGCATAAATCCCACGTAACTGACCCATTCAATGAAAGTAAAGAATAACCCGGCTGAAAGTTAGAGACTATTAAAATGTGAAGGTCAGATTAGAATCATTCTCCTACAGCTTGCTTGTTATCAGTGCTTGCCTGTACCAGTATGTTAGTTGGGAGTGTATTAACATTTGATCTGAAGCCAGTAGCACAGACTAACAGACTTCACTGGATTAAATGTCATTTTCTTCTGGCCAGTTGTGTCCAATGATTCTTAATGGTAGCCCTTTATCTGGTCTTGAAAAGTTTCCTCTGGTAAAACTTCTGGAGTCTTCATTTCTGTGGAATTGCACATGGGATGTTCATCGCTGTTAGATTGCAGGATCTTGCCCATCTTTTTCACCTATCATTCTCTCTCTCCTTTTTTGTACCCTTTCCATTTATCAGGCTGGTATACCCCTGATAGCCATTTATAGTTCTTGTAGTCTTCTTAAATCTAGTGACAAAAATGATTGCCTCCTACATCCTTTGCAAAATCATCTAGGTCAGCATTTGACTCTGTTTAATTTAGAATTATAAATATGTGGTTTATCTTCCCTTTCTTTTACCTTTTCCAGGAGAGTTCGTTCAAAGATTAAGCAGGCTCAGTCTGTGGAGATGGGATTACTGAAAACAGCTGAGCGAGATCAGGAATCAGAAGATGAAATCTAGTATAAATTCTGTTTTACCAGTTTGCTGCCTTGAGTACATTAGGTTCATTGTTACCTCATTCCTAGATGTGTTTACCACCTTGTTCATTTCTTTTATCACTCACTATGCAAAAAGCATCCTTTGAGTACTGTATAGTTCTACTGGATTGCATTCTTGTCTGCAGAGAGGAAGTAATTTGTGGAATTTTTGTTACTACCTTATTTCTCTCGTGCTTCAGTAAAAAAACATTTTCTTGTTATCCAAATTTATATTGGATTGGGTGATTACTGTAAATCAGTCAGTTCAAACTCATTAGTTGCTGAGTGATGTTCTGCTGCTGCTGTTGGAGAAGCTAATAGATTTCCATGTATTAAGATCCCCAAAAAGCTATTTTGTCTGAATTGTGCATAAAAGAACAGTGTAGATCCTAAAAAGAATGGAAAAAGCACAAGCATACAAACTGGTAGAAAAGTCTTACATTTACATTGTTGAATATATCAAAGAATGTCATTGCTCATTAGATAATCAGTTTGTTTATTACCATATGTATTCATTTCAATTTCAATGAAATGATCAGTTTTAAAAAAAGCCTACCTGTCATTATGAGAAGCTACCTATTCTAGGGCCCTCTTCTTACCCTAGGCTTCCCAGTACAGTGACTCTACTTTCTACGGCAGGGATAACAACTTCTTATAGAAGGGTTGCTGTGTGTTGAGTAGAGCAACAGCTGACATTCCAATTCATTTTTTACCCCAATGATTGTTTTTCCCTCCATGCAGGTTGGCGGGATTTCAGCAGGGCACAGGAGCAGTTGCATGATGACACATGATGCATAAATGTGCGTGCTAGGCTCAGCGTTGATAGCAGCTGTGCTTGCATACAGCCCATGGCGGAGACACCTGCACTGTTCCCCCTGCACTTCTCTTGCAAATACTGAGCGTCCTGTAGAGCAGTGTGCTGCACATAACAAATGTTTTCTCAATTTTAACTTTATTTGTGCAGTGAAGCAATAGTTGAATTTAAAATAGTTTTATTGGACAAATTGAAGCCCAGTTCTTTGAAGTACAGAGTGCCTTCAGCTGCTGTTACAGAAAAGATGTGCCTTGATATCAGGTGTAGGAATAGGAAAGGAATGATATGTAGCAAAATTTTAGTGAGCTGTATTGCATGCAGTTATACTGCCCCCAGAGGGTGGAACATTGGAAGTACAACTATGACCCAAGGTTATTCTTTAAAAGACTGCAGTTGCAGTTGGACATGAGTGGGCATTTGCTCTTCAACAGTTTATTTTTTTGTAGGGTCTACTTGTTAGAGTATAGAGCAGCAGTTGCCAATCTGTGGTACAGGTACCACCAGTGTTATAATTACTTTATATGACAAAAATGTAATGGTGGTACTTAGGTTGATCTTAAAAATGTGTTGGTGGTACTTAAGGTTGTATTGTTTTAAATTGGTGGTGTGCAATCTGTCAGAGTTTGGGAACTGCTGGTATAGAGTACAATAGGAATCCTTCGGGCAGTGTTACACAGAAATCATCAATGCTAGGTCATTTACTCTGCACAAACCTCCTTGTTTCTAGAATGCTTCCTTTAAAAATATTTATTAAAGTATTACACTCATTGCATTTAAAAACAGAAAGCTGCAGAGGAATATGTTTTATAAAAGAAGTTCCAGCCCATTGAGACTGGAACTGGGGAAGTTCCAGCTTAAATAGTTGGAAAACAAATTTTTAAGCAAGCTTTCAGGTTCAAAAACCCTTCATCAGGCTGAGACAAAGAAAGAACCTTGTCTGCCTATGTCCTTAGATTAACACGGCTACAAGAACCTGTTTTTTTCAGGGAATCCTATCTTCAGCTGCTGGTGTTTCAAGAGTGAAGCTATAGAAGACTAAGTTTTACAGAGATCTTCCAGGCCAAGCTAGACTTTAACATCTTTAACTCGGAACTAAATTTAAAATGTTGCATGCATTAAAAAGCATGGTGCTCAGGTATTCCCCACATTCTTCTCAATACTGTACAAATAATTCACATAACTCAGGGCTACCTTGAAGTGGGCTGAGCCTTGAGTATGTTAAAGGACACAGCCTGTTTGGAGTGTCTCTTTAGAATGAAAATTTTAATTGGTTATTTTTAAATTTATTTTAATCCCCATCAAGTGTCGGGACAGGCTGATGCTTGTAGTTAAAAAATACAGTTAAGAACAGAGATAAAGCCTGATTTATACCCTGAGAACAGTGTGCTCCCAAACTTTTCATTTGTTTAGGTACTCTGTGAAATGGGAAAGTTTGGACCCCAGAGCCTAACTTCACAGTACGTGTCTATTGATCCCTCCATTATTTGCTCGTAAGTGCTTTCCTTTGGTAAGTCTTGTAGCTCTCTGCAGCAGTAAGGAGGCCTGCCTCAGGACACTCCTATGAATTAGGTATCCGTGTTTTCATGTTCCATATTTATTGGTATTTCCCTATCATCGTGTCTAAGTTTTTTTTACAGCAGCCCATGGCATTATCTTCCTAGTGGAAATAATACCTACCCCTTAAGACTTGTGTGGCACATGGGGTCTAATCTCACATTAGTTATACTAATTATAACCCCATTAAAATCAAATGATCTGCTGGCATCAATTAAAGGACATTTCCATTGGCATCAGTGGTATTTTGGCTATTTATATCAGCCAAAAATTTGAAGCAGCATGGTTGTCATTGAATCTGACTATAATGTAAAAAGATGTTTTATTCTCTTTCCTTGAAATCTTATGTATAAAAGGAGCTACATTTCTGATATAGATAATACTACTGAACCAGTGGCTGCAATTGTTAAGAAAAGGAGATAAAACAAAGCACAGTCCTTTAACTGTTCGAGTATACAATACAGGGGACATCTCTTGCAGTTACCATTCCAATAGTTGAATGATATTGTTAAAATATAGAACCTTGGGGTTTATTGGAGAAACTTGGGTTGGCAATGAATCCAACTCATTTGACAGAGTGGGCCCAAGGGTGAGTTAAATATTTCAGTAACCTGCACTAGTTGTAAAACTAGAGGGGATTTAACATTGTTTTCCTTTTTAAAAACCTTGCTGTTTTCATGCTGATCTGCTAAGACAGTGAGAGCTGGTGTTGGAACATGAGGGCCAGAACTGGGAAGGGAAAGCTGGGCACACACTCTCTTTTAGACAGATTGTCTCTGATGAGACAAGAAGTGGGTACCCATGAGAACTCTTCTTTTCACTTTCTCAGTTCTGAGAATCTTTGACTGAACTCCTGGAAGTACCCATATTCATGGAACTAAGCTGTGGCATGATTGCAGCAACCGTGATAGAACTGGATGTTGTTGCTGCTTTTGTCACATGCTCCATTACAGTTGTCATGTAGGAAACCCATGTATGATTCAGTCTCCTGAGAGGGATGGCCTGCATCTTCCTGTGCTAGATTTGGCGGGTGCTGCGTAGAATAATTGGAAAGTTAGGAAAACCAAGAGTGTCTGACGCAGTTTGCCCTCTAGGAATTCAAAGAAACTACAGGAATCACTTACATATAAAATACTTTTTCTTACTAGCAAAACTGGCATTGCAACTTGCTAAAATTAAAAAAATTAAAACATTTCATAATGTCTAGTGCTTTCCTTCCAAGTTTTCCCATATCTTATGTTTGCCTCTGCTAAATCTGTCTTTTTGGCAAGTAGCTTGCTTTACTGTACAGATAGACCTAAACCTAAATCCTACATTTTAACAGACAGGAAGGCATACCTTGTAATCCAAATCTCAGTTTCAGTACTGGTTCTACTACTGTAATGGATCAAACCAGAACAGAGCATACCTGCATCACGCATCTTGGCATTTAAAATGCATAACTGGAATTTTTCAGCTCAGGCCCATTCCTCCTCTAAAACTAGTGATTTATTGGCTGCTCGTGGTTCTTCTGAGTAGCTTTTGACATAGAGGGGTGGAACTTGCCAAGTGGTTAGGGTTGTCACTTAAGTGTGAATTGAAGGCGCTCATAACCTAGTGTAAGCTGGCCTGCAGGTGTATGGTGAGGATGTTCAACTTGACTGGGTGGCATTTCTGTCTCCCTAGTTCTCAAATAGTATATTACAATGCTGAATTGAAATGAAGCTTAATTTATTAGAGCAGCAGTTCCCAACCCTGGGTCATGACAAAATGAGGGTCGCAGGAGCAATGCCAACGGTGCTGCATGGAAAAGACAAGCCGTGCCACATGCTGGGAGCTCCCTTGCCCCTGCCCCTGGGTCACCGCCGCTGCCACACTCAGCTCCCAGCAGTGGGTTGTGGGGGAAAAAAAAGGTTGGGAACCACTGTACTAGAGGCTAACTTCAATATAGGCACAACTATTTGATGCCATGATATATAATGTCTCGCATCTGGAGAAATATGTATTGGCAGGAACATATTTTACAGCCTGATGTTCTGAAATTCTGGACTACCAATCCAGAGGTCTGGTGCTACCGTGTTCAAATACAAACAAGAGACTATAGTAATGTTTACAGTATTTATAGTATACTCAACCTGTCTAGTATTTTTTGTAATAGCACAATGAATCTAACCATCATCTTTTAGGGAGGGCTGTTTTTTAAGTAGAAAGTTCCACTGAAGTGTTTTCAAATGCTGTTCCTTACCATGTAGCTATTATCATTAAATACATTTGACCTTTGGCATTTCTTTATCAACTGTTATCATTTGAACTCAAGGAGTGGATGGAGTCTATCAAGTTTACAAATGTCATTTAAAAAAAAAAAAAGGTAACTGCTCTCGTAAATATTTAAATTATTGTTAAATATTGGTGCCTTTTAAAAAATGATATAGTGGTTAATAATAGACAAGATGTGCCTATAATTGTATTTAAATAAAATCAATTTATTCATCTATGAAGGCTCTTGTTTCCTTAATCTAATGGTGTAACTTTATGGTGGAGTATGAAGTCTGTGTTACAATTCTTTTGCAACTTTCCAAATGAATGTTCTGCTTCCATTTCCAGTTCAGTTTCTTTGTTTCTGTCATGCTTAATGTCCCTGGGAGGGGTTAGGGTGGGCATTTTTTAATCTCAGTCAGTGGTAGGGTGCACAAGAACAAGGGCATGCCCACAAATAGTAGCGGTACAAATTTGTGCCACCACCTTGTGCCTCAGTGCATGCCCCTGCCTGTGTGTTTTGCACCGGGACGTTTTCCCACTGCTCTACGTGCTGTAGGGGGGGCTGGCTGGGGCACAGGGTGCCTCAGCAGGGGCTAGCCATCCTCTGCATTGAGGCACACTGGGCCCTGGACTGGCCATGGACTGCCTGCTCCCCGGTCTCTGCACTCTGGAGCCCCTCAGCCAGCCACTCCATGCCGCACTGGGAGGCAGCCTTGGGCTGGTTGCTACCTGTCTCTGTGTGCTTCAGCATAGGGGCTTCACTGCGGAGCCCCCCATGG